TGTAAGATGCGAGTAATGGTGTTACTTACTCCACGTAATTACTCTTAGGACTAAATTAATTAGTATCTGCAAAGCACTTAGAATAATTTCCAGCACATAGTAAATACATAGTTACCAGTAAGTATCTGCTAGTTTTATTATTATCGATATTTCTTAACAATATTCAAGCTGAAAGTGACTTCAAGGTTAAGGTGCTTAAGAAGGGAATTTTGAGCATACGGGCCGCTTAACTTCTACAGAGTGGCCTGTTGTTTCAATATAATTCTGATATTTTCTACTGAAGTCCTGACCTGCCCTCCCTAAGCTTCTAGAACCTGTTTTTTTTTTCCTTTATGATATTTTTGTGTAAAAAATTGTTAAAGATTTTTCAGCTCCTTTGAAAATACTCAAAGGGCAAACAAAGCAATTGGAGGATTTAGATGGGACATGCAGGTTTAATTTATGAAATTTCCTCTTTGCTTTACAGATGTTATGTAAATAATAAATGGATTATATGTACATTTCCATCATATAAATGGTATTTGCCCCCTGTGAGTTCTCATTTTTAGGATGTATGGCCATTCTGTTTCTACATGGTGCGCGCGCGCGCGCGCGCGCGTGTGTGTGTGTGTGTGTGTGTGTGTTTATAAAGATGCTGCCAGTTCTCACTTGAGGATTTGATCTTTTGGTTGGTTCTGCAGGGATCAGAGCCCATTTGGTGCAGTTATCTTGGCAGGGGAAGTGGAAATGATTGAGGATCCCCATTTTGTTACCATTGTGTTGCCTTCAAGTTTCTGCCTTTTGTAAGCTTCCTGCCCACTCGATGCTCTGGGAGTCTTGGCGTCCAACCCCCTTGCATGTGGCTGTGGTCTTGCCCTTGATGTGAAGGCCTGTTCCCCACTGTAGACAGTGGCTTGCTTCCTTTCCGTGCTGACAGATCAGGGCGATGCTAAGGAGATGTGCCATTTGAGTTTGACCTTTGGCAGGAGGCTGCTGGAATAAAATCAGATGATGCGGGGTTGTTTTTCTTATGCTCCATGGGATGCACTACTGAATTTACCCGGGGCGTTTTCCATCTGAAATGAAGCTTAAAATGTGTGTCAACACAATTCAGGAAAAATCTTTTTTTTCCCCATTTGTATCTGAACTTCAGGATTTAGAAATTATGGAATACAGTGTGTCCACTGACTCTTGCTTTTATAGTTTAGCCATCTACTCAAATAGCCAAGGGAAATTCTAGTTCTAAGCCTCCATGGCCCTATTGATGTTTTTGCCAATAAAATTAGACTACAAAAATAAGGTCGTAGGGGAAAGTCATTGTTCCTTTGTCTCCTTCACTCCGTCCTTTGTTAACCCCCTCCCTCAAGGTTATATTTGTCATTTTATTTTCTCTGAGTTGATACTTATTTCTGTTGGAGACAGTATAATTCTACACCCAGTGGTTCAGAATGATGAACGCTCTTTAGTTTCAACAAAACTGGAATGGAATGCGGTTCTTACCAACTACTTTCTGGCTGACTTTCTTAGTCTGAAATGGTTTATTTTTATGATGTAACTGGAAGTCTAATCAGCCAATTTATAAATTTTATTGATTTGATTCACAGTTAATGATTTAGAAGAATTATTTGGGAAATCAGTGCGGCTATTTTGTAATATACTTTGAAGTAATAGATTGAATTTTTTCTTCAAACATTCAGCCATATTATATCAGCTAAGAAATCATCACAAACTTTAGTACTTTAAAAAAATATTTTGCTATTATAGCTCATATGTCTGTTTCTTGCAGGGGACTTGGCTGATGTTTGTGAGGGTCAATGAGTGACACTACTTTCTCTCTCATCTCTAAGGCCAGCAAGGAGTTGGCTGCTCTTGGCTAAGCTCATGTGGAGACAGCTCTCATCTATGTGTCTGTCGCCTTTCTCCTGGATCAGTCGGTTTTCCTGCCACATCCTTTTCATAGTGGTGGTAAAACACCAAGAAAAAAGTGCGGTTCAGAGCTAATGTGCCATTGGCTAAGTGACATCACATGGCCAAGTGCAGGGTACTGAAAATTACATGACGAAAGACATGGATAGAGGGAAAGAGAGAATGAAGACCTGAAGCCCCTAATGCATATCTTACATACATTAAGGTGGCCGTCAACCTGTATGAGTCAAGGGCCGTTCAGGGTCCCTTGAGCCTTGTGGGCTTCTCTGCAATAATTGCCATCCTGCAGCACACAGTAGAGCAGGCAGATGAGGCCATGTCCAGTTGTGATCACCCAGGGGCAGCAGTTTCTTTCTCGGGTGAGAAGAAAATCACCCGAGTTCCGAATGATGAGCCAGACGTATGTTTACTATTGGGGTATTTCCTTTGTCTCTTTTCTCTTAGTTCCTTCATTGATAGTATATTATTATACCCAGATCTTTTCCCCCTTAACATTACATTATAAACCTTTCCTTGGTCATTAACAAGGCTTTTAAATGCAACATTAATGTCTGAATGAATATTCCATTGAACAGATGCACCGTAATTAACGTAACCTTTTCCTTATTCTTTAGCGTTCTGGTTATTCCCAGTGCTTTGTGATTATAAGCAATGACGCAACAAATGTGTTTATGCATGAATCTCTACCCACATGTTGAATTGTTTCCTTAATGGAGAGAATCCTGGCCAAACACAGCAATCTGGGCTCTGCCACTAATTTGCAGTATGATCAGGACTGGAATGTCAGTTTCCTCCTCTATAAAATGACATCCTTGTGCTGTATTGGTGGACTTAAACTTCTATCTCTAAAACTTTCAAGATTGCTGTATTGGAGTGAAACCATGAAGCAAACACCAGTTGTCCTCAGCAAAGCTTGGGGGAGTAGAGGCGGCTTCCTGGGACTCCTCACGTGGAAGAGCTCTGTGCCCTTTGAGAGAAGAGGTTTCCTTTTGCAGCTCAGGTGTCATTGCTCACTCTGCAGTCTCCTCTCCCTGAGAGAGCAGCGATTATACTTATGTTTTTAAATAGGGCTGTGGAACACGAGCATTAAGAACATAAACTGGCCAGGCACCATGTTGCATGCCTGTAAACCCAGCGACTTGGGAGGCTGAGGCAGGAGAATCATGAGTTCATAGCCAGCCTGAGCAAAAGTGAGGCGCTAAGCAAGTCGATGAGACCCTGCCTCTAAATAAAACACAAAATAGGGCTGGGGATGTGGCTCAGTGGTCGAGTGCCTCTGAGTTTAATCCCCGGTACCAAAAAAACCCATCAACTGAGCTGGCTTAGTTTATGGCCATGTGCATACTTTGAGAATGGCTTCCCTGGATTGGAATAACTGACTTCGTCACCCGTGTTCATTCTGTCTTACAATTTTGCATTTATTTTTGCCTTCTGTTGCCTGGTGAATTCAGCTGGATCGCAGTCCCCTTCCCTGGCCTTCTCTCTGTTTCCTGGTGATTGCGTGAGATGGTTTTCCCAGGATGCTTCCTGACTGTTCTTTTTGTGTGCACCCAGGGCTGCTTCTTGTCTTACTGTCTCTTCTAGCCTCTGCCAGGCACCAGCGTCGCTCGGTTTGGGTGGACTTCTAGTGCTGATTTCAGGAAGCAGAGGCCTCAGTGTCTCACCGCCGAGTGAAGAAAGCGCAGTCTGTTCTCGCGGCCCCTCCAGGCCTTCCCGACTCTGTCCCAAGGGTGTCCTCTTGCGGTACACAATCTTCTAGTTCCTAAGCTCTTTTGGGAGAGAGGTTGGTCTCTTTTGGCCTGTGGTCCAGCGGCTTCTCTAAGCTGAGTTGGGATGCCTATCTGGCCAGCAGAATTCTGTGTAAAGTACAGTGTGGTCTCCTTCCTCTGGCTGCCATCAAAAGGCCCTTTGTCCCCTCCCGCCCCCTCCTTCGCCAGGATGTTGCCCACGCCCTATGAATGACGGAAGTCCCCCATGGCACAGCGGCACTCAGCAGCACATAGCCCTGGCTCAGAGAGCAAGAGATCACATTGTGAATGGGAACCTAACTTTTTCTGGGGTTGAAGGAAGCTGCTTCTGCAGTACAGTTTTAAACGTCGTGAACTTTGGCTCTCACCTGCTGCTTCCACCCTCCCCTCCAGCCCTGGCAGTTGTGAATGACGTTCACGCACCTTTTCATAAGAAAACTGGAGTCAGGAATCCAGTTTCAATATATGAACAACTCTGTTCCCCGAAACAGTAGCGGGTCACCAAGCATGTGGCTTTAAACGTGTCCATAAAGCAGACACTTATCTTTGCTTTATTTCTACCTTGTTTTAGTACAGGTTTTAGTCTTGGGGGGTGTGGACTTGGGGAAGCCCTGGCTTGTTTTTTTCTTGTTCTGTGCCTGTTTGCAGACAGGGGCTTTCCTTTCCTTAACCTGCCGCTAAGGTGCTCTGTCCCCTGTCTTCTGCTGGGCTGTTATCTGTCCCCAGGCCTGGAGATAATCACCATGGCCTCTGTCATGAGACAAGACCCAGACTTGCCACTTATGTTTTAGCAAAGGGCAAATGTTTGTTGCATCTCTAAGAACTGAACAGAGGTTCTGGGGGTTGAGTTTAGATCCAAGGCACATGCAGAACCACAGGGAGAGCAGGAGACACAGACTAGGGAGTCGGAAGGAAAAAAAGGAGCCAGGAGAACAGTGACTGTCCCTGGGGAGAAGGAGAGTCCTGTCATCCTGAGACCTCAAGTGCCAACCATTGGCTTCTTTCCCCCTTATTTTCAGCTGTGCTTGTGTGTTAATTTTTGAATAGATATCACCTTCACTTCCACTGCCCGGACCTGCCCTCTTCCTCGCTCGCTCTGCCTGGTTCTTTCTTTATGGGCAGCTCTCCCAGGGTTTCTCCAGGCAGACACACAGGTGGGCACGCACAGGACTGTCTTACTTTGCCATTAATCTCTTCACCCAGTTCTCTGCGCTCCCACACTCTTCCCTTCCCCTTCATTCCCCTCCCAGGAATCCCTGGCGGGAGCTTTGTTCCGTCAGGAAGGTTGCAGTTGTGTGCATACTTGATGCTCTAACAAAGTCCCTGTTGCTTGTCTCCTTCCCACAGACGAGGTGGAGAGTGAGAAGTGGTACTTGTCGACAGACTTGCCTTCCACCACCATCAAGACAGAGCCGATTACGGAGGAGCCACCCCCGGGTCTTGTTCCTTCTGTCACCCTGACCATCACAGCCATTTCCACCCCTTTCAAAAAGGAGGAACCCCCTCTGGAGATGAACACGGGGGTATATTCAATTTTTTTTTACATATAAATACATTGGATCAAAAGATATGGACCTTCATTCTTCAATAAGGCCTTTATTCTAGTGGCTATATCGACTTAAGGGCATATAACTGTGTATTTATGCATATGTGCAGGAAAATACCAAGAATATGTTGATTTGGTATCAAGTATGGATCATATCACAACTTTAAAGGAATTGTCCACAAAAATTAATACTAAAGTGGATTTCATTTTTTTCCCTTTGATTGCTATAACAAAATTTAAAAAATCCAGAGTACCCATGGTAAATTAAATAAGTAAGTAAAAGTCCCTGTGACAGTGACTTTGAAGCCAGTGGAAAGGGAGAGGTTTAGAGGATGTCTAACCCACACCTGACAGGGCCATGGCTGTTGGGAGGGAATGCCAGCCCCTGGGTAATATTTTACTTCTCCAGTACAGTGCTGAGCTGCCCTTACCCGCTCCATAAATCTCCTGCCTACTGTTCCTGTTGTTACCTGTGGCAAGTGTAAGAAACCAGGAATATTTTCCTGCTTGAGTCCAGGTCTACAGCAAGTAGAGTTTAATTCTACTCTGCCTTCTCTCTGGGTATTTCCAGGGTCCAATAATGGACCAGCGTCATGTTCATGTATCTTCTTACAGACGTTGGAGCCGGTCTTGACTTTCCTAAGTTCTACAGGTCAGGTTAGAAGCAATGACTCCCTTAACATTCACTAAGTAAGATCTCCTGGGATCAGGATTTAGTGTCTCCATGTCCTGGAAAAGATCATGATCAGGAGAGCCACCGACACACAGCTGCCTCCTCCTGCAGAGGACGGGCTGTAGAGGAAAGCCCTGTGCAGCTGCAGGCTAGGATCCCTTCCTCAGTAGCTTCCTGAGCCTCTGCCAGGCGGGGCTCCTGAGATATGCAGACATCTCCTCATTCATGAGGTTTTTGTTCAGTTGATTTAAGAATAACATTGCTCAGGACCATCCTTTTGCTCCCCAAGAATGGGCCAGATATCTCTTCTCTTCCCTGCTGGGTATTTGGTGGACATGCCTGGGGAGGAAGGATCTGATGCACACAGTCCCTGCTGTGGGACAGACAGGAAGCCTGTGGCCCTTTAAAAATTTACCAGAATGTTTTGTGATAAAATGCCTTTAGGTTACCGCAAAATAATAGAAATATGCACTGGTAAGTGAGCCTGGGGCTTTTCCTGTTGGAGTTCTAAGAGCCCCTGGGCTGTAACGCCAGGTTTGGTAGGGAGGAGGTGGGACGAGGGGGACGGTCAGAGAAGCAGCCTTGCCCTGCTGTGCTCCAGAGATGGGGGTCAGGGGACAGATAGCTATCTCTGGTTCTTCAAGGCTGGCATTTGTTTTGAAAAATCGTGTTTGAGGGGCTGGGGATGTGGCTCAGCGGTTGAGCGCTCTCCTAGGCATGTCCAAGGCGCTGGGTTCGAGCCTCAACACCACATAAAAATAAATAAATAAAATAAAGGTATGTGTCCAACTATTTTTTTAATATTTTAAAAAATTATTTTAAAAATTGTGTTTGAAATTCTTCTTCCAGGTCGATTCCTCATGCCAGACAATTATTCCCAAGATTAAGCTGGAGCCTCATGAAGTGGATCAGTTCCTAAACTTCTCTTCTAAAGAAGGTGTGTCCCTTGTTCCTGCGTTCCTTCAGTGCCCTGTGGGTTCACACGGCCTAAAGAGAAGGGGGAACAGCAAGAGTGCTGGTTTAGTTGGTTCTGGGGAATAGCTCGCTTCTTAAAGAATCTGGATTCCACGGAAATATTTTGAAAGCTAAATATTCTTTTCCCCAAAGGCACATGCCTCATTTTCAGCCAAGTGTTAACTTCCCTTTTACTCCAAACCAGGGTGATTTTTCAAACACCTTATAGACTACTACAATGTGGTCACAGGTGACCAGACCCGCTGTCCTGTGCCCTCTTGGTGTGAACCTTCTGTAGCCCCACAAGGGCACAGCCGTCCACACAGGCACTTGCTTAGTCAAAACAAGTGATTCCACCCTCTGGAAAGTGAACTCATCACTTGGCCGCCTGGACAATGCAGGCTTTGTTTTGGTTTTTGATGCCGGGGATTGAACCCCCATGGTGCTTAACCACTGAGCCACATCCCCACACCATTTTTATATTTTATTTAGAGACAGGGTCTCGCTGAGTTGTTTAGGGCCTTGATAAGTTGCTGAGGCTGTCCTTGAACTTGTAATCCTCCTTCCTCAGCCTCCCCAGCCATTGGGAGTGCATGCATGTGCCACGATGCTTGGCACAATGCAGTGTTCAGATAACATTTAATAGCAGTTGCAAGGAGCCCCGTTGCTTTAGGGCACTTGTGGCCTCTAGCAGTGTACCCCTCCTTGCCATCTGTGTAGAGCTAAGTAATGTCATCCTTGAGGTTGCTTCGCTTGCTCCTTTCTTTCCCTGCTCTCTCTTGGGTTCTCCTGCAAAGCCCATAGCAGGGATCCTGGATGCGACCTCTGTGCCTCAGGAAGCCTAGGGACAATCTGTGTCTTGTTTATACAGATGCCTCCGTGCAGATCCCTGCTCCTCTCAGTTCCAGGCTGCTGTTCACGCTCTCACCTCCCTTTTTAATCTATCTTTTGAAAATTTTTATTAACGCATAATAATGATAAATAATAACGGCATTGTATGTAATTGCCGGAGCACATCATGTAATTTGATCAATATGTGTTTAAAAATACAGTTCATCCTGTGGGCAACAAGCAAGAGATCAGCACGTATAATGGTTATAGAAAATGTGTCTGCACTGCAGTGTATCAATGTGTGAGCGTTACCCCTGAGTCTTTCTCATGGACGTATAATCTGCCTCATTGCATGAGGGACTGACTCAGGACTTGAACTGTGACCACTGAATCAGCCTTGGCCCTTTCTTTACCTCCACTCTCGGAAAGAAAGGGTTAAAGTTCTTAAGTGATATCGACTGGAATCTATGTGGAGACATTCTTCTTTGGCGATGAATGATACACATTGATGCTTTTCCACTTTATATGCAGTTTGAAGGTGGTTCCTTTCGTTTTTATGGCTCCGGTTGTGACTCTGCTCTTTTAATTTGTGTTGTAATATGGTTCAGAGATTGTCATCTCGGGAACAATGGATCCCATAGTGGCTTCAGAATGCAGGTCACTGGAGGAGAAATATTTCAAGACCCAAGGAAATAGCAGCCCTTCCTCATGATCCTGGGTGGAAAGATCAGGAAATTCAATATCCTTGAATGCATCACAGTTTCTGGGCAGAGTCGCTTGTTGTCCCCAGATCTTTCAGTAACCCAAGAGCGGCATTTCAAATGGGATTTAGAAATCGGATATTGGGGCACCTGTGGCCAGGCCAGCAGCTCTCCGTGGGTGGGAAAGATGAGATTGGAGTCTGCTTCCCTGGCTCTTCCTGTCGTCCTGTTTCTGTTTTCTGGGGGATACCCCCTGCTTGGAAAGGAGAAAACCATTAGAATAAACTGTGCCAAGTGAGAGGGATGGGGTTGCTCCAGGCTCTCTGGCTAGCCCTTGGGAATGTAATCGCACAGTGTGGAGCCTCCAATAGGTTAGTCTGTTTCCTGTTTTCCTGTCTCTCTTATTATTGGTTTGTTTGTTTATCATAAAGTGCCGTAGTGTTCATTGGGAACACTTGGTGAACGTTCATGGGACTCCTTCTTTCCAGCCAGGCACGTGCATGTTTGGCACAACCTGTCCCCCTGACTGCCAGCAGGTTTTAGCAGGCTGGTTGGGAACAGAGTCTGTAGGATTGTTTGGGAATATTCTTTAGCTTTAAGAATACCCACAGGCACTCAAATGACCAGGGAGCTCCTAGTTAAGACTTTGGAAGAGAAAAATAGACAGAAGCAGCACCTAGGTGCCCCTGCAGGATGTTGGAGAGGGAGAGAGGGTGTGAACGAGAGAGGGAAGGAAGGGAAGTGGGCTGGGCCTGTGGGGGAGGGAGCATGACCCACTGTGAGTATTACCCACTGTGACCTGGCGTTCATGACTTGGGGTAGGACAGCCGGCAGTCCCAGGCAGCTCTGCTGGGGCCCATTTCCTCAGGTCAGTAGTTGTGGCTCGGAAAGGTTCTCCTGTCCCTGGGACCTTGGGCATCAGCATTTGAAGACAGGAACAGGAGCTGAAGGGCCCAGGCCTTGCCCGGCCTCAGCAGCCCCCGCCCAGGCTGAGCAGGCCCAGGTGTGTGGAAAGCCCCAGGCTCCCTGCCCAGTCCCCAGCTGCTGCACCAAGGGCTGTGTTGTCTGGGGCCCAGGAGCGGCTTGGGGCGCAGGGCTCATGGAGGTCATCTCGCTTGGCCCAGGAACAGTGGCTGGCACAACAGAAATATCTGCTGTTCAGAAAAAGAGGGAGGACCACCTCAGTGTGCTTGCCAGCCACGCGGGAGGTGCTACCTGACACCATTAGGCTCCGTGGGCCCTGGCAGAGTGTGGCACACCTCCTGAGGAAGGGCTTTGCGGGAGACGGTGCCCCTACACCCCCTGTTTATTTTTCCTGAGCCTGCTCATTTTTCTAAAGTGGATTTGGTGTTTTCTGAATGAATAATGCCAGGCATCTTCTTGTGGGCCCCGCTATGCACAGCCTTCCAGAAACGAATGTGTTTTTCTCTAAGCACCCCATGACCGCGCCTAGGTTTTGCTGTTAAGAATACTTTGGTTTAGAGTACGTGATGCATTATCACAGTGTACAAATCAAACACTCTAAACCGTCTGGAAAGGCTATAGTGGGAAGACTTGTCAGCACCCTGTCACCGTCTACCCTAAGTTTGCCTGCTCTGGGCCATCTTGTGTGTACCACCAGTGTTTGTTTCTTTGTGCCAATGCAAGCAAATATGAGTCTGTCTTCTCTCCTTTGTACAAAAGGAAGACGACTGTATACACGGTTCTCTTCTGAACGTACCTAGGAGAGGTCTCCAGGTCAGCTCATGGAGAGTCCTCTTCCCAAGTTCCACCATGTGCATGTATGTGGTGGGCCCAAACCCCCAGGCCTGCTCTGCGGCTGCTCTGTGGGAGATTAAATGTGCTTTCTTTCCTCCAGCCTCCGTGGACCATCTGCACTTACCCCCAACCCCTCCCAGCAGCCACAGCAGTGACTCAGAGGGCAGCCTGAGTCCCAACCCATGCCTGCACCCCTTTGGTCTGCCTCAGACCCACAGTCCTGCCAGGGCCGTGCCCCGGGGCCCCTCTGCACTTTCCAGTTCCCCTCTTCTCACAGCTCCTCACGTAAGTATTTGGTGGGCCTTTCTGGGTAGACATGGACCCTCTCAGTTTGATTTTTGCTCTTGTAACGAAGTTTCTGTTCAGTGACTAATTGTCTTAGTCTGTTCTGTGTTGCTATAACAAAATACCCAAGACTGGGTAGGTTATAAAGAAAAGAGGTTTATTTTGGCTTATAACCAGCTGTAAAGCAGGATGTTAACAACCTTAAAGAACATTTTTTAAAAACAACCCATCAATCTCACCTCGCTACCACACTTGTCTATCTTTCTATGGACACAGTTCCAGTTTTTAATTCATGTGTTTATGGTACAGACCTGTAAGCATGAGAAATGAGAATCTTGTTCTTTTATCCTCAAAATTATACCATAAATATTTACTTAGAAGTCCCAAATCGTCATGTGTGCCCCACAAACATAAAGACACTGTTTTCCAAATAAAAAGGAGGTAAAAGGACTTTGTTTTTCTAGAGAGTGAATTGGTGTCTATGAAGTCTTTATAGTCAACTTTTAAAAATTTTATAATATCATGATGCAAATATAAACAAAGCAAAATATTTAAAATGTCTTCACAAACCACCTCTCTATTCACATAATTTTTTCCCACAAGTTCTAGATCCATAGTAACCCATGTCCTTGTCACCATTATGGAATCCCTGAGAGAGGGATCCACCCTGTCCACCCTTCCTTCTCCACTCGCACCTGAGTCTTCACTCTGGATCACCCGAGTAGCCTCCTCCTAGATCACCATGGGCCTCCCCACAATCCATCCTCCACCTTTGTAGAGGACGTCTCCCCCTGTCACACACTTGCCCTGCAGCCATGCTGTGTCCCTGTCACCACCCATAGGCACGAGGCCCTGACATCCTGCTGCATAGGAGGTGGCTGGCCTCTGTTGCTTCTTGAGCTCCCTAACCCCCTCCAGGAGCAGGCTCTGGGTTGGGTCCCAGAACATGCCTTTTTCTAGGAATGCCCTTCTTTCTCTCATGTAGATCATCCCCCTCGGCAGGAGGCTCAGCTCGAGTCCCCTGACTTACCCTGAGCCTTCTCTTGTCGCATGATCACATAGGTGCTCTCTTTCTCCGCATTCTTAATGCACCCACAGTTAATATTATAGTTCAGCATTCGATGACTTTCATCCTTCCACGGGCACCAACTCTGTCTCATAGCCTTGACCATAAGCTACCTGAGAGAGGGTGTGAGTCCTGAGGCTCTGTGCCTGCAGCTCTATTTACAGGGGACTCTGTGACTAATGTGCACATGCCGTTCTGTTCTGGGCCAAACGAGATGAACTGCAGTTGCGTCTTCATTGCGGGTGGAGTCTAGGAGTGTTGAAGCCAGATGCCCGTGGAGCGTGCCTGCAGGTGTACCTCTGGGACCTCAGGCCAGGAGCAGCCCTGGTGTGTAGAGAGCCAGTGGCAAGAGGACATTTTCAGAAGGAGAACAAAACTCTTGCACAAAGCGAATCTGTCCTCACCCTGAGGCCTGGAAGTCTCCAGGGACATGGGCCATGAATTCTGTACCTTGACTTCCTGTGTGCTGGCTCCTGGGGCCCTTCCTGGGAAACGCCTTGCACGGTCCTCCTAGGGCTAAAGCCCGCACACCAGCATCTCTTCGCCACCCGTGCTTCCATTTTAAAGGACCTGCTTCCCACCCAGAGCTCACGGGTCCCTTTCCTCCTTGCCCGTCAGGAGGGTCTCGTAGCATGTCCCGCTTTCTTCCTTGACCTTTCCTGCTCCTTGATCTGCACAGAAGCTTCAGGGATCAGGTCCCCTGGTCCTGACCGAGGAGGAGAAGAGGACCCTGATGGCTGAGGGCTACCCCATTCCCACCAAACTGCCCCTAACCAAATCAGAGGAGAAGGCCCTGAAGAAGATCCGGAGGAAGATCAAGAACAAGGTGAGCCCTTCAGACCTAGGCCCTTTGGTGAACAGAGAGAGCGAGCAGAAACCCGTAGGCCCTGCCCCCTTCCCAAGGGCCAGTGCTGGCCTGCACCATGGTGGGGACCCAGGGTCAGCCCTTCCCTTAGCCGAGAGTGCACCCAGCACCCACCCCGTCTTCCTTCATCCTGCTCCATCTGCTCTGGGCCGTGGACTCTCAATGCCATGTGCGTGCTCCTCGGTACCCAGCAGCACAGTCAGCAGCAGGAAAAGATATGATAACTTCCACGTAAATTTATACTTTAAAAATATCAGCCCTTTAATTTCACTTTTATGATGTATGCCACATTTTTTCTCTAGCAGACAAGTATATCATTTATAAATAAATACAATTCACTGGGGTGTTTACTTATTTTTTTCTTGATAGAGGTTTGTGGTAGAGAATCTTGCAGTGGTTTGGTCTCTGGGCTCTGCCTTCTCCCAGTACTGGGCCCCTCCAGGGCTGGGCAAGGCTTGTGAGGCCCAGGGTCGTGACCAAGGCAGAGACAGCAGGAGGGAGGTGGAGAGGAGGAGGAAGGCAGGAGCGAGAGAGGTGGGCATTATCTTCATCCAGGTGGTGCAAGCTCAGCTGAAGCAGGGGACAAAGGTGGCCAGTGGGTGAGCTGCAGATTAGACAGGGCAGGTGGCCCCCAGGGGAAGCAGGGCTTCGCACCTTAGCACCTGTCTTCCACTCATGCATAAATGGGTTAGTTATAGAGCTGGAAATTCATCTTTTCTCTCTCTCCTATTTCTCAGATTTCTGCCCAGGAAAGTAGGAGAAAGAAGAAAGAATACATGGACAGCCTGGAGAAGAAGTAAGCTGCTGTCCGCTGGTTGTGTTTATTGGGCAATGGTCACAGAGAGGGGGGAGCCTGCTGGCTCTGGAAGGCAGGCTGCCTTTGCACAGCCCTGGGCCCCTGGGCTGTTGCCTGCGTCTTGCCTGCCACCTAGTGGTTATGGGAGGGGTGTTTATAATGACCAAGAGGGAAAAGCATGCTCAGTCTTCGCGGGCATCCAAGGATCCCTGAGTCCTTCCTCAAAAGCTTCCTTACAAACAAGAAGCATTGTTCACCTTCCTGCACATTCCCAGATCTCACCAGAGGGGGCACTGTAACTCATGCTGTGGGTGACTGGCTTTTTGTCACTTGAAGCCACACTTTCTTCTGAAAAGCTTAGAATATCAGGAGGGCTTTAAAAAAGTATGAATTAGCTGGGCACAGTGGCACCCACACCTGTAATCCCAGTGGCTCAGGAGGCTGAGACAGGAGAATCACAAGTTGAAAGCCAGCCTCAGCAATTTAACAAGGCCCTAAGCAACTCAGCGAGACCCTGTCTCTAAATAAAATATAAAATGTGTTGGTGATGTGGCTCAGTGGTTGAGTGCCCTTGGGTTTAATCCTCAGTACAAAAAAAAAAAAAAAAGAGAGAGAGAGAGAGAGAAAGTATGAATTAAATTCAGTTTTTATTAGCCCTAGAAAATGTTCTCTAGCTGACAAGCTAATGCCAATTTTAATATAGGAAAGGGATCCCAGACCTAGAGATGAGTCTTTCTATACATCTGGAGGCAAGAATGGGTGGGGATGTGGACTGGTTCTAGAAGGTTCCATTGAAAGTTATCACCTGTCTATCATCTGGTTTAGGAATTGGCCATTTAGCATTAAGGGGTCCCATTCCATTCCATTGTTTCCTAAAGACATCCAGGGTCAAGATATTTCATGGAATTTCTTCACTGCCCCTTTTGGGCAGGCAGGCCCCAGCACCCAGATTCCTAGTCCTGGGTTCTCCCCTTCCTTTGCCCCCACCCAAGCCCCATGGTTTCATCCCAGTCCTTCTGGCCAGAAGAAGAGCCAGTGGCCCCACATCTCTGTAGGACAGAGGAGAAGTGTGAGGATGTGGGGAGGATGGGGAGGAGGCAGGGTCGTGTCCACCTGCCGGTCCTGAGGCCCTCCTTCCTCAGTCCCTCCATTTCTCGTTGCCTCCTCCCTCCTGCCAACCCCAGCTGCCTCAGCTCTTTCCCTCACCTCACTGGAGTAGCAGAGCCCCCTCTTCTTTTTCTGATCCCACCCGCCTTCACCCAAGCTCCTGTCTGAGTTTGCTCTGCACAGAATAACTGAGTTTCTTCTTTCTCTCCTCCGTAGAGTGGAGTCTTGTTCAACTGAGAACTTGGAACTTCGGAAGAAGGTGGAAGTTCTGGAGAACACCAACAGGTAAGTGTCCCCCAAGTGGGAACTGATGGGCTGCTGGGCAGAAGGCGGGGAAGACCTCGCAGAATCCAGGACCACAACGTGGAGGAGGGTCCAGTGAATGCGTGTGCGACCAGGACGCGCAGGATAGCCACTACATATGCACACACTCACATGTGCACACGCATAGACATGCACACATAAAACATGCATACACATGTGTACTCTCACGCACACAGACAAACACACATGTTCTTTCCTTTTTCCTAAAAATTATAGAATCCATGGGGAGGCTGATCCTGACAAGCTATTATAAGGAAGTTAGAGTCTCAGAGAAAATAAAGTCCATAGGTCTAATTCTCCAGAAAAATGACACCAAACTTGAGAGGTAGACAGGGAGGCACTGGCCACCTGATTTTGGTAACACATGTGTTTATTAGTTTTAAAAAATACAGAAAATTATGTTTTTTAAAATCAGTCCATGAATTACATCTCAAACCCATTTTGAAAAGCTAACTATGGGACTGAGTCAATGAATTCTTTTTGGCATTTGTGCCAGGCACACTTGTAAGCACTTCCCACATATTAACTCACTTAGCCGTTTGAGGAGATGGTGCTATTATTTTCTTCCTTAGGCAGAGGAGGTAACTGATACTCAAAAAAGTTAGGCAACTTTCTCAAGGTCATGCAGCACTGGTGCTAGACCTGCATTTGCAGCTAGAGTGTGTCTCTGAAGCCTCAATATAGGAAGACCACATTAAGATTGAACTCTGGGTCATATGTAGGGTGTTTAGGGATGGGGTAAGAAACTGGCTATGGGGGCGTTTCATCCAGAGTGTGTGTTCATATGCATGCACAGTACATTCTTACCATGTCAAACAGAGAAAAATGGGTCTGAGGGAGGTAAGCCCATTTTAGGGTTCAGCATTAATGTCTAAAAACAATTTTGCAAAGGTTAAGGGATCAGGTTAAATCTTGTATATTTTGGACAATAACATTACATTTCCTGAATCTCCATGGTTTGTTGTTCAAACAGCAGGAAGTTAAAACTCCTGTAAGTGGGAGTATTGGACGTTGGGAGCCCACTGACTTTCCCTCTGCCTCTCTGAGAATGTATTGCCCATAGAGCAGGTCAAGAGCAGTTCACCTTCAGTGCTCTGCAGCAGACAGCCCCCTGGGGGGAAGCACCACCAGCTCAGGGTGGCACTGTGCTGATCTGATGGTTTCAGATGCCACGGTTTTGCCAGTCTCTCTAGGCTTCATCTCTCCCTTGTCTATCTGCACTCCCTTCCCAGGGGTATTTCCTGAGTTGGCTGGTTTTCTGCTTCTTGCTCCCCCATCCAGAGTCCACAGCCATCCCTTTAGCATCCTGTGCAGATAGGAGTTCCCGGCACCTCTCCTGACACTTGCTGCTGTGGAAGCAGCATGTCCACAAGTGGGACAGATTCTGACCACTTGAGTGAAGGGGAAGAGGAATTTATCAAAGATGAATTTGGAAACTCATCTTCTCTAGCGACTCTGGTGCCATGCCTTTCTTTGGCCACATGGGGGCAGCAGAGGCACAGCAGGGCTGGGGCTGAGGCCACCTGGGTGTCTGTGAGGGAGAAGAACCTAAAGGCCACCTGGCCTGGGGAAGGGTCTCTCTTCCCCTCTGCAGCTGATGGTGCGGTGTCTTGAGTATTTATTTATTCTTTAATCATCTCAAACATCATTTTTGCTTGTTGGTTTAAATCAGAATCCAGATTCCATATGTTTGAACTGGTTGATGTGCCTGTTACATACCAATGTACCTTTCATCTATAGGCTCTACCTCCCTTTGCTTGTTTTGTAGTAAGGAACTGAGTCTGTCATCCTGTCATCTCCACTGTCTCAGTGTCCTGTGTC